TATTTGCAAGAAGAAGGGTGTGGCCATGGGGGGGTGGGGGCCTAAAATTGCACACCAGCAATGGTCAACCTCATTCTATGGCCAAGTGGGAGGAGGATGTTGCTTTTTACAATATCACAGACCAGAATATTCTGGAAACATTTTCTCGATGATATCCTCTTCAAGTGTGTGGTGAGGAGACATTTTTGAGTCTACTTGATTCATTTCTAGTTTTCCTTAATGGATGATCAAAAAAGGGTATAGTTTTGAACCCATGAGTTTTAGTTTGAATTCTGTTGCATTCTCTTGATCTAAACAATATCCATAGTTAATGGTAGTCTTATCACTTCTACCTTATTTTTATAAAAAAATGGATAGGAAACGGCTTGATCCCTTTAGATTCCTGCCACCACCCCTCTTGGTTGTCGGAAGCTAACTAAAAGGACAATCGAGATTTCTTGAAAAAGGATATAAAGCGCATGTTTTGGACAAATTAATCTGTGAAGTCGGTCAATATAATCGTGATGATTTAATTAAGAATACAGAGGTTGTCCAGGGGTGGTCATTATCGATTTAGTTTGGCTTTTTGCACCACCTTTTCAATTCAGCATTATGTTGTTAAGAATATCAAAAACATTGGTCAGTTTTAAAGAATGACCGCATTTTGGGTTCCATTTTACTTGAACATCACTATTATCTTTAGGGGTGCGGGGAACCTTAGGAATAAGGTGGCACCAATAAATGTGATGGCTATCATTACTGTAGGAGGTGCAAAGCTGCCAATTTAATTCATGCAGCTCTCCCTAGCGGTTGATTAGGTCAGTATTTCTGTGCTCAAAGCAGTAAATTTTTTTGCATGGAAATATCTTGATTTTTTATTGTAGGCCTGTAATTTTTAGGAATAACTCACTGAAATCTGTGCCGAGCAAGAGTCTAGTAAACATCCTGGGTATGTTAAAATTTGAAACACGAAATCATAAAATTATAATTTAATAAATATTCATAAAAGATAATAAATTTAATTCAATAATATAAATCAAACCAAACACACTGAAATTTGAAATACAGCGACAAGTTTGCACATCACTGATGTTAGTCGCAAAATCGATTTTCAGTGTCTGATGACGAATTTCCCCACGAATCATTATCACTCAATTCTGCAAGTGGTTCTAATTTACTATCGATGTTCTCTAGCTGGTTATAAAAACGCTTTTGACCTAAAAGGGACGCTTTTTGGACGCCATGGACATTTCTCAGTTTCCAGGCAGAAAGAACAGTAAAAATGTAGGCAGGGCACAGAACAAAGCACTAGGAACAAAATGTATGTGAAATGGTTTGATACAGTAATATTTTACGATTAGATTTTAGTGTATTGAGCGAATGTCACTTTTTGACATTTTTCAAGTTCCTGCTGGTTCCGTCCCTGTACGTCCCAGGGAACGGAACCCGGAAGGCGAATGCCAGCACCGGCCAGAGGAGATGGTCCGGGTACGCTGCAGGGGGGACATCGTGGTGAGCGCAGGACAAAGTGCAGAAGAGATCCTGGAGCAACGCTGCAGGGTATTACCGAGTGTAGCTCGAGGTTTACCGCTTTTTGGTGCTGAAACTTTACCCCGAGCTACACTCGGGAATACCTCCAGGGGAGGTTAAGGGTAGAAAAGTAACTGAATTCACTGGTACATTTACAGGCACAACATATAAACTTCGATCGTTTATATCATGTGCGACTAGACATGTGGTTTACATGTTGAAATGTCCATGTGGTTTGGAATATGTGGGGCGTACGACACACGCCCTCCATGTTCGTTTAAGTGAACACATTGGCAATATAAAGAAAGGTTAGATGAAACACAGTGTATCTAAACATTATGCTTTGAAACATAACAATCCTGAGGGTACTACCTTTATTGCTTTGGAGAAATATATTCCGGATTGGCAAGGGAGCAATGCTAAAAGATCTGTCTCTAAAGCCTGAGACCAGCTGGATATATAAGCTCAAGAGTTACTCACCGTGGGGTCTTAACAATGAGTGGGACATCAATTGTTTCATCACTAATAGTTAATTTATATTTTATGTATAATTCATTGGCATCTGCACATTTTCCGAACAACGGTAACCTGGACAGCAAACGTATTGCTTTCCTTTACATTTCAAAAAAAACGTAAGGCAGCAGGCATCATGCTTGGGCTACCGTTCACTTACATCTGTGCAGTTCCGAACACAGGGCAACCTGCAAGAGACAGCACACATTTTCTGTGCAAGTTCTTGTACTACTTTGGGGCATTTGTCGCATGTAGAGCAGCCCATTTAAGTGCACGGTTACGCTTGAAAAAACGTGCAAGAAACCATGAGCGGGAACATGCATTTCCGATACGTTGCGATGTTAATGGAATGTGCTTGGGAGAAAATTTTTAGGCAAAAAAAAAAATGACCAGGGAGGATTAGGGGACACACACACACACACACACACACACACACACACACACACCACACACACACACACTTCTGGGAAGGCTGTCCACAAGGATAAGGAGTGTGTCTATGGGAATGTTTTACCATTCTTCCAAAAGCACATTTGTGAGGTAAGGCACTGTTGTCGGACGGGAAGGCCTGGCTTGTAGTCTCCGCTCTAGTTCATCACAAAGGTGTTCTATTGGGTTGAGGTCATAGGCCAGTCTAGTTCCTTCCACCCAAAAATCGCTCATCCATGTCTTTATGGACCTTGCTTTGTGCACTGGTGCATCATGTTCAAACATAAAGGCGCCATCTCAAACTGTTCCCACAAAATTGGGAGCATGAAATTGTCAAAAATGTCTTGGTATGCTGACGCTTTAAGAGTTCCCTTCACTGGAGCCAAGCCAATCCCTGAAAAACAACCCCACACCATAATCTCCCCTCCAAAAAAACAAAACTTTACTCTTGGCACATGCAAATCAGGCAAGTACCGCTCTCCTGGCAACCGCCAAACCCACACGCAAATACACTAGAATACTACTCAGTACCAGTGTGCAAAAAGTGTTTCTCTTCTACCTCCATCACTGAGGTAATGTGACCCAGCACTGATGGAAAGGAGAAGGGGAGGGTCAAACTAGGATGCTGTGCAGGCAGCTGACATCCTCCTTATCAACTGATGTAATTGGTTGTCAGGATGCCGGCGGCTAGAAGGAAGGTTGTAATGGTGCACAAAAAAACCTGTGGCTTTGTGTAAATCAAAGGCGGGCTTATATACAAGTTTTTGGCAATTTTTATACAATTTTGCGAAGGCACCCCTGAAGAAACCTTAAGGCACCTTGGTTGAGAAAGGCTGCTGAAGACAGTTGACAACTTCCGCACATGCGCTGACCCTGCTCTGTCATTTTATGTGGTCTACCACTTCGTGGCCGAGTTGCTGTTGTCCCAGTTTCTTCCACTTTGTTATAATACCACTAACAGTTGACTGTGGAATATTTAGTAGCAAGGAAAATTCACAGATGGACAGAGGTGGCAGCCTATCATGGTACCAGGCTTGAACTCACTGAGCTCTTCAGAGCAACCCATTCTTTCACAAATGTTTGTGTAAGCAGTCTACATGCTTAGGTGCTTTATTTTATACACCTGTGGCCATAGAGGAGATTGGAACACCTGAATCCAATGATTTGGAGAGGTGTCCCAATACTTCTGGCAATATAGTGTATATAAAGGGGTTTCCTTTTTGAATAAGGCTGTGTGATCTGTGAGGCGGGACTTGGGAGGTATGGAGTCTTCCTGTAGGTGTGACTGGCTGGGACTGAATGACAATTAGGATGTATTCAATCCCACGGACCATCAGATCTGCAAGGAAAATTACATTTAAAGAGTCTGATAGACTACAGAGGGGCGTGTTTTAGGATCTAACTGCTGCAGAAAGTGGCTGGCGAAGGAACAGAGTATCAGCAGGATATGCAGAATGTCACATGGTACAAAGCCACAGCTAAACCAGGATATCAGGGGATCTGCAAACAGAGCAATATGGTACAGAGGTATGATCTATTCTGGGATTAATTGTTCCATTCATTTCTAGTAAAACAAAAGTTGGAGTCTAGCTTTAAATAACATTAAAGTTTGTTTATAGCATACCTTATACAACTCCTCATCAAACTGGCTTAGTTGAGCTACTTCCTGCATTACTTCTTTCCTCATGAAAAACGGTGTATATATGGGAGTATAACCTTTCCCTGCTAGAGCCTGAAGTGCAAACTGGATAAGGGCTTGCTCCAAAAATACAAGTGGACCCTATAAAGATAGAAAGGATCAAGTAGATGTTAAAGAAGCATTAGAAGAAGAGAATATGATAAGCAAAATACACCCCAATACACCCCCATACACTGTGTTGACACTTGATTTTACTGTGGGAGACCATGCATTCACTATATTTGGTCTCCCACAGTTCACAACATGGAAATGCAATTATTTAGTAAGTATAAAACTGCTTAATACCTTTTCTCATCAGCACTATATAGCAATCTTGTGACTTTTATCAGTGTCCGACTGAGCACTGGTTAAAGTTTGTATGACTTTTCAGTCTCCTCTGACTGTCCTATGAGACTGCATGCTAATCACATACATCCCCTCCAAAAAACAAAACAAAACAAAAAAAAGAAAAAAGGCTCTCAAGCAATACACAGACGTAAAGAGTGCCTCCTAGGGCTGCTAGGGATTGGGGACTGCTGAAGGAGGATCAGAGCAGACAGGATCAAACAGCCTTTTTACACAACTGGGAGGATTAACCCCTTCGGTTCCACAGTGAGTATAATAAGCATGCTTTACTGCTTACACAGACCGGATTTTATCGTTGTAGGTTTAGTAACACTTTAAAGTAAGAACTATAGGCAAAACTCCCCCCACTATTTTGGATAGAGCAAGAAAGGGTTATAATCCGTCAGATTTTTTTTTTTTCCACTATCTGTGTCCCATTGCAAAGATTTCTCTTCACTTCCTGTCCCACAGCCAAACAGGAAGGGAAAGCAAATCCCTGCAAATTAAGGGAATTACTTGGGGATCCCAGGTCACCAGAACTAGCATCCCCATTGGAACACTCCCCTCTATTACTTTTCTGGGGAAAAACCTAAAACTTGGGATTTTCTCTCTTTCACCTTCAATGATAATGTTAAACAAGACAAGGGTGAATCTCCTTAACTGCTTCTGCACAGTTCTACAGCAGAAATACTGGTCCCAGCCGGTGATTTACGACAATCTCTGACGGGGAGGAGAACTGTTTTGTTTACTAACAATTCTCCTCCCGGTCAGCTCGGGCACACTGCTCTGGATGGCTGTGAACAGCACAGCCATCCAAAGCAGTGTGCTTACAGTGAAACACAGACACTGCCCCATAGCAAAAAACACACCCAGCACACAGTTAACCCTTTGATTGCCCCTCAGGTTAACCTCTTCCTGTCCAGTGCCATTAGTACAGTGTCAGTCCTGCTATAAGTCGCTGATCGCCGCCATTACTAGTACAACGAAAAAAATAAAAAATATATATATATATATATATATATATATATATATATATATATATATATATAAATAAAAATTCCAGTATCTATACTGCCATTTGTAAACGCTATAACTTTCCCGTAAACCAATTTTACACGTATTGGGATTTTCTTTTTTAGCAAAGACATGTAGCAGAATACAATTTGGCATAAACTTGATTTTTACATTTTTTTTTACTGGATATGTTTAATAGCAAAAAGTCAAAAACATTCGTTTTTTTTTTTTTCCCTCAGATTTGTCGGCCTTTTTTTTTTTTTCTTCTTTTTTTTTAATTCGTGGGAAACAAAGGGACGTAAATGTCATTTGAGTATAGTGTTGCATGCCCACGCAATTGTCAGTTAAAGTAACAGCACCATAACGCAAAGAATGGGCTGGTCAGGAAAGGGGGTAAGTGGTTAACAGAGGCACAGACGGCAATAAAAACTGGCAAATTTTCTAATCCCTCTGCACTCTATACAGTGAAAATAGCATAAATTACTCTAGAAAGCATAAATAATCACTTTAGTGAATGTAAAAGCACTGGGGAGGATTTACTAAAATGGGTGTATACAAAATGGTGCAGTTGTGCATAGAAACCAATTCAGCTTCCAGGTATTCTCCAAGCGTTAAAATCTGGTGCAGCTGTGCATGGTAGCCAATCAGCTTCTGAGTGCTCCAGTTTAGGTAAAATCACCCTGTTGTTCAGTCCCAAAAAACCTTGTTCCCAAAAACGAAAATTTGCAAAGTGAGCTTCCTTTATTGCAAATGTGGTACCCACCTTGAGGAAATAGCCCCTGCTGCCAGCAACTACGGCACCTTTGTCGCCTTCAAAGCCATCCACCATAACAACAAGATCAACATGAGAGTACCTCTTTTTAGTTTCACAGTCTCCCCATATGTGCTCCACTTTGTTGTCATTATCCTAGACATGTTAAAACCAAAAGAGTTTTGTAATATATCATAAGCCAAGAAACAGAAATTGTTTAGAAATAAAAGTTATATTCAGGTGAACACCATTTTTTTTGGTGGGGTTGTTATTAAACAACCTCCCCCACCCCACAAAAAAAAAAAAAAAAAAAAAAAAAAAAAAAAAGTTTCCTAAAAGCCTCAAGTTCTCTACATTCAACCAACTTTACTTTTATTTTCTTTTTTATACATAGGAAAAAAAAAAAAAAAAACCACAAACCTTTTTCTTAGCTTTTCACTTTTTTCTGAGACTTTACTTCCTGGTTGGTTCCAAACATTGGCATGTACTCTTTCAGTCTAAATTAAATGACTTATTTCATGGTCATTTAATTCTATGCAATTATCTACTGGTATCTCAGGTTACTGAGTATGTTGATTCATTTAGTCTCAGGTTTATAATTAGTTGTTATTCCTCTCTAGCAAGTATGGTTGAGACTTGTCTTCTTGCTGTTATGAGATAATGTTATCTATATACCAATGATATTGCACTATTTCATATTACCATCATCTTTTTCTTCCCAGGCACTGCCCATCCTACCTGCTGAAATGCAACCCCATACATCCTTGACAGTTTATCTACCCAGAGTTCCCAAGGTTGAATAAGGGACATTTTTTTTTTTTTTTTATTCCTGATCCATATATTTTTTGGATATGGTTTATTTTTGTATAATTTAGAAAACTGTTTGTTAGGTTGTTAAATGGGTACATGAATCTAACTTTTTGCACTATATCTGATATATTTGGTAAAGAGATTTTTTTTTTTAACTTTGCAATATCAGTAGGTTTCATTGAGAATTTTGTTATCAGAGAATGGCTCCTCTTCTGGGATATTCTGGAAGTCTTTTTAAAATCACCTATATAGGGAATATCCCTCTTGTATTTTTCCATAAAGCATTTTCCCAAGCCATTTTAGAACCTATAAATTGTAATTTATGCCTTACAAAAAAAAAAAAAAAAAAAAAAAAAAAAAAAAAAAGTATTCATATTCCTTGACGGTTTCAACATTTTGTCATGTTACAACCAAAAACGTAAATGTATTTTACTGTGATAGAACAACACAATGTGATACATAAATTGTGAAGTGGAAAGAAAATAACGGGTTTTTTGTACTTACCGTAAAATCCCTTTCTCTGAGTTTATTGATATAGCCCCACCTTCAGGAGTAGGACACTAGGTAGAAAGAAGAAAGAAAAAAAAACAAAACAAAACAAAACAAAAAAAAAAAAAAACAACAAAAAACAGACTTGGCACCTCCTATGGGCAGTCATCTAGGTATAAAACCCCCTCTCTGTTATAGGTCTCCAGTCCGTCACAAGCAGTGTGAAAGGAGAGAAGGTGGGTGCTGTGTACGTCAATGAACTCTGAGAAAGGAATTTTACAGGGAGTTAAAAAAAAATTAAAATAAAAATCCAGTTTTCTCTTACGTACATTGATGGACACAGCGGCTTCTTTAAACCTTAATGAAGCAGGGATGGACAAGCAGTGCCAGAATGAGGGAAGGGCAACCATACAATGTAAAAAGAAAAAAACACCCAGGGCAACAAGCCAACGCTCCAAACGACCATAAAAAAGGGAGGCCCAGGAGCCCTAAACAGCCGCCTGCAACACTTTGCGGCCAAAACTAGCATTGGAGGATGCCAACACAACAACTTTATAGAACTTTGTAAAAGTGTGCACAGACGACCAAGTCGCCGCCTTGCAAATCTGAGAAACAGATGCCTGATGTCAGAACGCCCAGGAGGCGTAACTGGGAAGGGAGGCTCCTGCCCCTTAACAGCATATGCCTGAACAATGGTCTGCCGAATCTAGTGAGAAATAGTGGCAGAAGATGCCACCAAGCCCTTCTTTGGACCATCCTTGAAGACGAAGAGGGTCTAACCTCCAAAAAGGCAGCAGTTACAGACAAGTGCACGAGAATCGCGCAGACCACATCCAGGGAATGCAGAGCCACCTCTTTAGGGTGCGTCGGTCGAGAACACAATGAGGGAAGAACAATATCCTCGTTCAAATGAAAATCCAACAGCATCTTCAGCAGAAAGAAAGGGGAAGGCCGAAGCACCAAGTATTATGGGTGGAACTGCATATGGGGAGTGAATACTACAAAGGTAATCATTGGAGTTTGTTATAGGCCTCCCAGTGTTAATGAGGAGGTGGAAACTCAGCTCCTTGCACAGACTGAAAGGGCTACAAGGGCTGGGACAGGGATAATGGGGATTTTAACTACCCGGAAATTGACTGGAGTAATGGTACTGCAGGAACAGTTAAAAGGGCAAACATTTTTAAACTTGCTACAGGACAATTTTATGGTACAGTTCATAGAAGCCCCTACTAGGAATGATGCTCTGCTGCACCTGATAATCTCAAACCATGCAGAGCTTATTACTAATGTCCATATAAAAACATCTGAGTAGCAGTGACCATAACATGATTTCATTTATTGTTAGCTGTAAACAGCGAGCACATACGGGAAAAATAAAAAAAAAAACGCTCAATTTCAAGAAAGCCAATTTTCCAAGGCTGAGAGCTACTCTCCAAGACTTAGACTGGGAGGGAATATTGGCATTGATTAAACACAACACAGAAATGGGAGTTCTTCAAAAAGATTGTATGTGAACACACTGCAAAACATATTCCCATGGGCAACAAGTTTAAAAGGCTAAAAATCAAACCTATGTGGCTTATGGCCAAAGTTAAAAAAGCTATAGATAAGAAAAGAGCTTTTATTAAATATAAAAATGAAGGGAAGTTATCGTTTAAACATTACAAAGAATGTAACAGAATATGTAAAAAGGAAATAAAGGCCGCATAAATTGAAAACGAACGACAGATTGCAAAGGAGAGCAGGACCAACCCCGAAAAATTTTCCAAGTATATTAAGAGTAAAAAGGTCCGGTACGAGCATGTAGGCTCTTTACAAAATCATCTAGAGTGGGTGACTGGGGACAAAGAAGGCAAATTTATTTAATACCTTCTTCAGCTCTGTGTATACAAAGGAGCACGGGGGAGTCCATAATGGGCATGGTACTTACACAGCTCCAGATGATCCACAGTGGCTCACAATTGATATGATCCAAAAATATTTAGACAGTATAAAAAGGTGAATAAAGCACCAAGACTGGATGGCATACACCCACGGGTCCTTAAAGAATTGAGCTCTGTCATTTCAAAGCAATGGTTTCTAATTTTTAGGGACTCTTTAATGACTGGCACAGTACCACTAGATTGGCATAAGACCATTGTGGTGCCAATATTTAAAAAGGGGTCAAAATCTTTACCAAGTAATTATAGACTTGTTAGTTTAACTTCCAAAGTTGGGAAGATACTGGAGAGTTTAATAAAAAGACCACAGAGGAGTTCTTGCTGGAAAAAGATAAGCAACAGACAGCATGGATTCATTAAAGACAGAAGTTGTCAAACAAATCTGATTTCTTTTTACGAGGGGGTGAGCAAAACTTTGGACAGAGGGGTATCGGTGGACGTGGTATACTTGGATTTTGCAAAAGCGTTTGACACAGTTCCCCCACACACGGCTAATGTGTAAGGTAAAGTCTACGGGCTTGGAAAAATCCGTATATAAATGGATAGAAACCTGGCTTAAAGATCGTATTCAAAGAGTAGTGGTTAATGATTCATACCCTGAATGGTCTAGGGTTGTACCCCAAGGTTCAGTGTTGGGACCCTTACTTTTTAATACATTTATAAACAATATAGGGTCTGGGATTAAAAATCCCATTTCAATCTTTGCAAATGACACCAAGCTTTGCAGTGGAAGAACGTCCTTACAGGATGCCTTCATTTACAAGCCGACCTCAATGCACGGTTTAACCACCTTCCGTCCGCCCTATAGTACAATGACGGGTGCAAGGTGGTTCTCTCGTTCTGATTGGACGTCATATGATGTCCTACCATTCGCACTGCGCATGCGCGGCTCAGGGAGGGCGCAGCGCGGTGATCGCCGGTGCACTGTGTCCCTCGGACACAGCGGATCACGGAAAGAGCCGAAGATGTTGGCTTGGTCATGTGATCAGCTGTGTCCAATCACATGTAAACAGGGATCCCGGTTATCGGCATTTCTCTCCTCTCGAGCTGTCACGCTGACAGCTCGAGAGGAGAGGAGAGACGGTAATCGGCTTTCCGCGGAGGGAAGTGCCCTGATGATCAGTGTGGCCCCAAAAGTGCCACCTGTCAGTGCCACATCCCAGTGCCTATCTGAGCTGCCTTTCAGTGCCGCCTATCAGTGCAACCTACCAGTGCCCATCACTGCAGCCTCATTAGCGCACACCAGTGAAGGAGAAAAATTATTTATTTACAAAATTGTATAACAAAAAAATTTTTCTTCAAAATTTTCAGTGGTTTTTGGCTTAAGAAAAAATAAAAATCCCAGAGGTGATTAAATACCACCAAAAGAAAGCTCTGTCTCAAACAAATGCTAAAAAATTTCATATGGGTACAGTGTTGCATGACCGCGCAATTGTCAAAGTGTGACAGCGCTGAAAGCTGGAAATTGGCCTGGGCAGGAAGCGGATAGTAGTTAATTGGGCATCTATGTGGCAAATGAGGTTTAATGTTGATAAATGTAAGGTGATTCACTTGGGCGCTAAGAATATGTATGCATCATACATACGGAGGGGGGGGGGGGGGTGTACAACTGAATCAATGGTGGAGAAGGATCTGGGGGTTCTGGAAGATCACAAGCTCAATAATGGCATGCAATGAGAGAGAGAGAGAGAGAGAGAGAGAGAGAGAGAGAGAGAGAGAGAGAGAGAGAGAGAGAGAGAGACAGACAGACAGACACACACACAGAGAGCCAGAGAGGGGGGGGGGGGGGGGGGGGGGGGGGTGGGGGGGGGGGGGGGGGGGGGGTAGGGGGGGCGGGGGGGGGGGGGGGGGGGGTGGGGGGGGGCGGGGGGGGGGGGGGGGGGGGGGGGGGGGGGGGGGGGGGGGGGGGGGAACGAT